TCGATGCTAACACTTGGGCAGCTTAAAGAAAGATAAAAAAGAAGTAAAAAAGAATATACTAACTATAATAAGTCTAATTATAATTGGACTTATTGGAAGAAATTTTCAATGATCATCAATGATTGAATATTGATTATTATACTATAATATTAACAGCAAAGATAATAATCGTAAATTTTCTCAAATGCAATTTCTTTGTTAAAAATAAGTTATTAAGCTGTTTTCAATAAAAACGTACATATTATATATTTTCATATTCATAGATAAATTATAACTAGATATGTACATATACATACCAACAAAAGGACTGCTGAAAACTCCCAAACAATGAGTATCATCCACCCACTTGAGCTCAAAACCACCATTCTTAAAAGAACTGAAGACAGCTGCCAAATCGCTAGTTTTAAACTCGGAAGGAAAATTATAAATCTCTACAACGTGTGCAAATTCGTCACTGGACACTTCGACTTGCTTGCTGTATGCTTTGTAATCATTTTTCGGTTGTTCTATCGCTACTTCACCTACTGCTGATGTAAGCTAAAAAAAAAAGAAAGATGATACGTGAATAATTGGCTAATTATGTACAATAAAATAGTGAACACGATAAGTTACTGAACTTAATACATAACTGACCTCTTCTATTAATGTTGGATCCAAACAATCGCCATTATCATCAAATAAGCTATCCCAATCGCATTCGTCTCTATTCATTTTCAGAGGTGGAGAAGGTGGTGGAACCGGTTTGCTTTTTTGTCTTTCTATCTTTTTTACTTTTTTCTCAGGTGGTGTTACGAGAATTGGAGAAAGTTGTTCAGACTGTTTAGATTTCTTTTGAATAGTATCGGAAATTATTAGAACATCCGATACTGCATTCTGTCTACTTAGTTGTCTGTCTTTATGATCATTTACATCGCTACAATTTAAATATTCGATCGAGGATTGGTTTTCGTTTACAATTTCTTGTATCTTTTCTAATTGTTTGTCATTAATTTCAATTTGGCTGGATGGTTCCAACAGATTGAAATTAGTACTATTTTCATTTACATTATTAATTACGACAATTTCTTTATCTTTGGATAAAATTGGTACATCTTTTTGTTGCTCTGAAAATTTATACATATGCTCGGTATTCTCGAGAGTATCAGAGATTTTGCTAGAATCTAAAGAAACTATATTTTTTGAAATGTTTCGTAGAAAATGTTTATCCTCGATCATCGCGTTGCAATTCTCAGAAAGTTGATTATTTGAAGTCAGATCGCCTATATTTTGTTGACTACAACATACATCTTGTAGTTTAGAATTATTATTCATAATTGAATCTCCATTTAACGTCGTGTGAGAAACTTTCAAACTGTGTGGCTTTTTATCTTCCATTTCTAAACTTCTGCGATGCCTAGGTACATAAACTGCCCGATCAGGTCGTTTTTGACGTACATTCCTGCATACGTATATTAACAATATGTATTTGGAATAGTTGACATCAATCATGTCGTAATCAATGTGTAAAATCATAATGTTAATATAAAAGAAAACGATATGTAGATCACATACAAATCTAGTACATATAAAATATGTTTATATGTATAGATCATACAATAATTATGATTAACAATAATAATGTACATAGAAATGAATTTACTTACTTGACCGAAGAAAAATCTGTAGTCGATTGTACTTGTGTCTGTGTACCATTTATTTGTGAACAATTATTAAGTTTCCTAGCCGCTGGTGGTCTATATATTTCAACTGTTGGTATTGACTTGGCTAAAAATTAACATTTAAATAAAAATAAATCTTTCGTAATTAACTTATTTTGAAATATATCTTATTTGATAATGTCACAAGATATAACATCAATTAATTTATTCAAATAACACATGTTGGTTTATATTTTTTAAACCTATTATTTTCTAGTTTAGTATATAAAATCCGTAACGTATATAAAATCCATATGTGCTATTTGAGTGATATTCATAATCACCTTGCCGTTGTAATTTGCATTCTGGAGATGTCGAGGGTGAGCGTCGACCTTCAATACCCATTCCGTGAATCGTATCCTTTTGTTTTGTCACAAAGTTTGTCTTAGACTCAGGAAAATTCGATTTTGGGTTCCAATCGCTTTATAATAAAATAATGATATTCTTCTAGAGCAAATTTTCTTTAAAAACATGCTTAATGTATCATGATTGTAATTAGTAAGCATAACATCGGCGCAATAGAATGGCATTACGATCGAGAGGTAATTTCGGATAAATTTTACTTTCGTTCGCGATAAGTAGTACAGCTTTGCAAGTTTACACACAGAGACACATATTTATTATTTATTGTTATATGCGGCTTAATTAAACGTATATAAATTTAGTAATACAAATACGTAAATTAAGCTTAATTTAATTATTAATTATTAAAATTATAATTATTAAAATTAGCTTGAAAATCGAACAATTGTGAAAAACTGTTGACGAAAAAAATAACACAAATCGTTACGCGTAGGTAGATGAATATTTTAGCAGAAAAGTTCATAACTAACAGATATCGAAGATAAAAAGAATGATTTTTAACATTTTGTTTTATACCTTCTCACATCGGTCTTGTAACATACTACAGTACGCCTAGCCGAACCTTGGCCGATCGAGAATGTATGCAGCAAATCCGAGAAACGATCCTGTATCAGCTGATGTATAATGAACCGACGATAATTGTTGACGGGCGGAAAGACAAGCACTCTGCAAAAGTGAAAAGAAAGAACGCATTTATCGTTGAAAGTGAGATTGAACGGCCTGCTGTTCGGAGTATTGGTAGCGCAGCATCGGTTGTTTTGTTCGTTTTGGTGAACGTAATGCCTTACGGCATTGGTTTAAGACAAGGAAGGAAGGGGAAGAGACGATAAACGCCAGCTAACTTTTACATAACCCGTTCACTTTCTCTCTCGTTCGTTTCTATAAAGACTTGAGTATAGCGTAGACGTTGATGCTTACAACTTGTCCTGTCTCAAATTTTCTTCTTCTTTTATCGAGTCTTTTACTGCCTAATAAGCACGAATGGCAACATGCATAATATATGATACTTAATAAAAATAATAATCAAACAATTGTGAGGAAAAATATTCACTTGCTTTATACATATATCATTAGAAATATACGAAAGTGAGAACCAATTTAATTAGGTATGCTTCATACTTTCAACCACAAAAGAGATAAAAATGCACTGCTTTATATCATGTAACCACGTGCACATAAGAACAACTGAATATATTACACTCGTAAATATAAGAATCCAATACATGTTAAAACAAAATCAACAAATTGTGTTTCTATTGATTAAAATTTTATTAAAATTATTATTATTTAAATTGATTTAAATTATTGTGTTCTATTCATATTAATTATATCGAGTTGTTTCAATTTCAATTTTATTTTCAAACAAAAATAAAACGTCGACATAGTCGAAATTAAATAAGTATCTAGGATGGAATAATAAATACAAATATTGCATTGAAAAGAAATAGATACTTACAAATGTGATGTCTATTACAAGATATTAAACTTTTCAGAATTATTACTATTTCTGATATACCGTGCATTCCATCGATGTGCACAAATCCTAATATATTGCTATATAAATCAACAAGCCCAAAATTATTTGCATTAATTTACACAGCACAAATCTTAAATAGCGTATACGAGAATAAATAGTTAGGAGCAGTATTTAGATAATAAAAAAAATGAAATCATGATCCGGCTTTGTACTGTAGCAAAAACGAAAACTATATATATCTTGTGCTATTTATAAATCCTGTGCTAGATCCTACCATGGGAATGCGCCACTCACATAATCTCATTCAATTCGATATCTTCACGAATCCTTTACTTGCCAATATCTATATACATATATGCAAATATAATAATCGTTCAAAGTTCGAGAGGAAATGAAACTGTTTATGTGTTCACAGCCATCAACGGATACCGTAAGGAAACTAACCTTCAAACATGATGTCGGTGTCGATATTCTATTCAAAGAATCTCGTTATAATTTTCTCGTACCTCTTACGTGTCTTATCCTTCGTAAAGATGATTACGTCGTATTCGACATCCTCGGTAAACAGGCTATCTTGTAAACTCATTTATCTTTCGTTACATTCACAAAGTATAGGTACACGTCGCGTGTCAGCGTGTATATACTTGACATTCGACGCAATTAAACACAATTCAATGTTATCTGTCGGACAAATTCGTGGCACTTGCGTTTGAATTTTTTTTTAATAACCTGTTATTCCACAAATTCGCACACATACAATAAACCGTTCCACTACGCTCGAATATGTACAGTCAAAAATCATGCCCTGAAATGAATCGCCGCGAACTATCGGGAGTGAGGGGATACGATTTTATGCACCAATCACAGAACAGTGCGAATCTGCCATTCAACGTTTCATCTTCCATTTGCATTCTCCGATAGGTTAATTGGTAAAATTCTTTCTTCCGATTGCTCAATCAAATTGCTCATGCTTTAAATTCATTTGTGTTCAGTCACACATTATTCGATTTGTAAATATACGACCTACGTAGACAGATTTGATTTAGGATTTTCAGATGCTAAATCATATCTTTCAAACGCGTGCCATACGAAAGATGGCTGTTAACTTTGATAATTTACATTGAGAAAATTCTCTATGTGTATACACACCGGCGATTGTATATACAATATGAATTTTAAATATATATTTAGTGCATTCAGCACTAGGATAAACATATACATACGTATTCAGCTTAAGGTTGCATTCGATAGCCAATAGTGTTCCAAATATTGAGAGTCACTGCATATCACATGATACGAAAGTTAAGTAGCTATACTTGTGTTCTCACTTACGTCAATCGGTGTAATGGTATAAAAAGTCAAGCGTCTACATAACACTCATATACATACACACACACACACACACACACACACACACACACACACACACACGCATACACACAGTTAGATTAAAGATCATTTGGCAAGTTCGCAGGTCGCCAATCTTCGCGCGACTTCATTTCAACACCGCTCTCTTCACATACTCCAGTATATTTCTATTCACGTTGTAATTGTGAACTTTTTCTTCCTTTCATACCAATTCTTAATTTGATTTTATTCTTTATTCTTTATCTATCATTTGCTCGCATTTACAACATGACGACCAGATTCACGGGAATAGAACTGGGACCACCTATCGAGGTTTTTGCACTGCAAAAGGCATTCATCGACGATGTTTACGAAAAGAAAGTTAATCTTACTATAGGAGGTATGTAACTATTTTATTTCTTACAACTATTACATTTAAGACCACTTTATTTTCCCATTGTAGTCTAAAAGACAATAGGAAAATATTTATTTTATTTTATTTTATGACACACAACCTTATAATGATGCTTGCTTTTAATAAGCTTAATTTTCATAAAGTTAGCATATTTTTACTATTAAATATATGTATTTTAATAATATGAAGTATGAGATGTATAAAAGTTATTTTCAATTTTCATATTCTTTGTACCCTTGAGTGACTTCCAGAATGATTACATAATATTCCTCATTCATCCATAAACACATCTACACACACACACACACACACACACACACACACACACACACACACACACACACACATACACACGCACACACATGTGCGCGCTTTTATATATATATATATATATATTTCATAACTTGATTATTTTAAGGAAATAATATATAAAAATAAATAAAAGTCTATGTAATGCAAATGTTATTAAATGCCAGACTTTAAATCTAACAAATTAATTTTTTTGTAATTTGTAATATAAATATTAATATTTAAATATGTACATAAAAAAATTCATTCTTAATTTGCACAAGAACATTTCTTGAAATTATTTACATGTTTGAATTCATATTTCTTTTTGTAAATTAATATATGTAATTAATTTTATATTATATCTATTTATAATGAATGATTAAGAAATATGATTAAAAAATCTTTTCAGCTTACCGCACTAATGAAGGCAAACCATGGGTTCTACCAGTTGTAAAAAAGGTAGAAAAATCACTTGCAGCAGATGATTTACAAAATCATGAATATTTACCAGTTCTTGGCTTAGAAACATTTTGCGAAGCTGCTACAAGTATGTTATTAGGCATAAATTCTCCTGTTATTGCCCAAGGACGTACTTTTGGTATTCAGTCGCTTTCCGGTACTGGAGCATTACGTGTTGCCGCTGAATTTTTGAATCGTATTCTACATTATGATACCTTTTACTATAGTAAACCTTCCTGGGGTGAGTAAATTTTAAAAAATAATATATTATTCCCTCTCTTCTCTCTTTCTCTTATTTCATCTACTGGTGAAAATTTTCATATGTTTGTAAAATTATATGTACTGACAGAAAATCACAGACTGGTATTTATTAATGGAGGATTTAAAAACGCTTGTGAATATACATACTGGAATGAAAAGACTCGTAATATTGATTTAGAAGGAATGCTCCAGGATTTACAAAATGCTCCAAAAAATGCTGTAATTATTCTGCATTCATGTGCACATAATCCAACTGGATGTGATCCAACTCCAGAGCAGTGGATTAAAATAGCTGATGTAATACAAGAAAAACATCTATTTCCATTATTTGACAGTGCATATCAGGTCAGTGTCTAGTTATTATCTATCTTGTCAAGTTAATATCTAAGCGAATGATAAGAATAAATATTAGGTGTTGGAATTAATTCGTAGCGTTTTACAAGTGATGGGAAGTACTTTCATTAATGTATTTTTTAATGCTCATGTGAAATAAATAACATTCTTTCATTAAAAACGCTACGAATTAATTCCAACACCTAATAACATGATCTTTTTATAGTCATTCTAATAAATCTGATTACACATTGATTCTTGACAGGGTTTTGCAAGTGGTGATTTAGATAAAGATGCGTATGCTATACGAATGTTTGCCGAACGTGGAATCGAATTTATTTGTACGCAAAGTTTTGCGAAAAATTTTGGATTATACAACGAAAGAGTTGGTAACATAGTTTTTGTGATGGCCGATACAAAGGAGATGATTCAAGCTAAATCACAATTAACATTAATTATTCGAGGAATGTATAGCAATCCTCCTAATCATGGTGCTCGAATCGTTGCAACTGTGCTGAAAAATCGGGAGTACTTTGAGGAATGGTATTGATTTGTAAAAATTTATAAAAAATGATCATATTATTCTTTATTATTTACTTTAATAATGTGTTTCAATATTTAGGAAGGATCATATTAAAACAATGTCCAGTAGAATTAAACAAATGAGGGTAGGTTTGCATCATAGATTGCTCAAACTAGGTACTCCAGGTACTTGGGATCATATTATTCAGCAAATTGGAATGTTCTCATATACAGGACTCACAAGTTAGTTGTAAAAATTATATTTTCGATTTTACAATATAATATTTTGATAAAACTATATTATGAAAAAATATTTTCTTCCGATTTTCTTTTAGAGAAACAAGTTCAGCATTTGAGAGATCATTATCATATTTATATGTTACGTAGTGGACGTATAAATATGTGCGGACTAAATGAAAATAATTTGGATTATGTAGCAAATGCGATTAATGAAACGATAAAGCTGTTATCAGAAGCACAAAACGACTGTATGTGTTAAAATAGAATATTACAAATACAAATTAATAATCAAGCCTCAACATAAAAAATATGGCAATATTTTATATGTATGTTATATATATATTTTGTATGACAAAATTCAATTTCCAATTAGTAATCAAAGAAATGATTATTTTTTACTAGTACTGAAATTTGTTATACGAAGTCATGCATTTTGTCTTTATCCTACTTTGAGATTAAATTATTTTATATAGTTAGTTATCATTCCTGTGATAAATCGTCTTTCGTTTATCTTTTTTTTTTTACTATTTAAAATTTTGCAGGATAAAGTACAAAATGCTGCAAAATATTACAATGATGCCAAATTTTCTATGTGTATTAATTGTCATATTGTTAAATGAAGAATTTCGTAGATATACATATATAGCTTATATTGTTAAAAGTAAAAATTTTATATATATATATATATATATGTGTGTGTGTGTATATATATATATATATATATATGTATCTAATAGTTTAGGAAAATTGTTATGCCATGAAAATTGTAAAATGCTCTAAAGCAACGTATTTCAATCTTTTTCAATTCGCAGCTCATTAAATATTGAATCGATAAATTTGTCGAAGTACATATATTAGATCTGCGCACAATGGAGGAATTATTATAATAGAAAAAAATATTAATATTCAATCTTAACGAGAAACCGCTTACATCAGAATACGCAATTTCTGATAGGTCGAAATCTTAATACTTATTCCTATTCCTAATACTTCCTCCATTGTAAAGCGTAAGGCTTCAGGTATACAATTCAATGGTTAGCATAGCTTCTTTATTAAATATCGCCAGTACAACATTCAATGAAAGGTTAAAATTCTAAATTTCTTATTTTTTTATTTTATTGTTTAAAAAATAATTTTATTATAATGACAATACATCACTTTAACTAAAACGAAAAAAAAACACAACATAATTAAAAGTAATTTTTATAATTTTTAAATATTTTTTTATTTCATATCTCACTAGCTAATTTCTAAATTTTTTGTCTTTTTTTACCTTTTCTAAAATTTTTTTGGCATACTTCCTTTGCATCACATCGATTGAAAACTCCTGCTCCAAAGTAAACTGGAAAAGTAAATACAACTCGATTAATTATTTATTATAGGGGACTATTCTCCAATAACCTTGACCTTGATATATGTTGTCAAAGTCATGACTCCGAGTGACCTTAGACAAATTTTAGCCGTCGTTCGTTATTCCTTAAAAAGTTATTAATAAAAAAAAGTTTATTAATAAAATCTAATTTTTGGACATGACGCTCTAATAAAACAAATTCCCTGCTTTAACAGCGCAAAATATTTTCTTATATATTATCTTATCTATAATTTTTGTGTTTTTAGAGTAAATAATTTGTCCGAATTTCTACACTTATGTGAAATCTTTAGACATTACGTTAAAAAAAGAGTCTAATGTATATCAAACGTTTTTTTTTAACATGAATTCTGCAAGGTAATGGGCGAAATGGAATTACTTACGATCATATTGAGATATAATTCCGCGAATATCTCTCCACAGTTCGATATTTTGAGTATAAACGCCTTTATCTGGATCAACAAAATATTGTGAATGATTCATTGTTTTATGTTGATATATTGGGTCGATTTGGCCGTATGCTTTCCAACAATTGGCATAAATTATTGATTCAAAAGCGATGTATTTCTGAATGAGCAGTAATGTTTGTGCGACACCGGATTCAATTAGTACGACAAACATTTTCTTTGTGTTGCGTGTTATTCCGCCAAAAAGCCATTGTCCTTTAACGAGTCGTTCGCGATGATACTGTCGATGTCCAGATTTTACCTAATAATAATTCCTTCTCCGCCAATTTGATTGTTTGTTAACTATCGATTCATGAGCTGAGAAGTTAGATTGTTGTAATTGAATATTTATTAAAGTAGAGAATTTTTTAATAAGTATACAAGTTGTCTGTTTCAAAAATACTTTAATATTTTACTCTAAAAAAAAAATGAATTTCCTGCTTTATAAACAATTGACATTGTTCTCCATTTATGTAGTTTTATCAAATTATTATTTATTAAATTACATGAATTATCTCTCTGCAAAAGTTAGTCCAGTCAACTGATGCGTATGATGATATATTTGAATCTTTTTCTAGGAATGTCTGCTCTACAAACACAAATTCTTTGCTTTAAAACCACAGTCTTTTGATGAACTTTTTTGATAACAATTTTTCAACGAACAACGAGCGCCAGCTAAAATTTATTCAAGATCACTCGGGGGCAATGACCTTGACCTTAACAACATATATCAAAGTCAAGGTCATTGGTCCCTTATACTAAATAATCATCACAACGCGTTTGATATTGAAGATTTTAACAGAAATTTTATAATTTAATCTACTATATATTATAATTTCATAGTGATTTCATTTAAATTATGGAATAAAGATATATAGATAGCTTGTGTAGAAAAATATATATCTATTACCAAGAAAAGCTATAAGAATATTTTTTGTGTTAAAATGATAATAGTTTTGATCTAATAATTGTATTATCTGCGTGTGATAAAAGATTTATTAGATTTGATTTTATATTTAGACTTGAAGATATTTTCTTTATAACAGTAATGTCAATGGTACTACACACGATAGATATTTGAAAGAAACAAAAAGGAAAGTTAGATTATAAATATCACATTTGTTGATATTATAGAATATAAAACTATATTTAGCGATACCTATTGATTCTCCAACACACAATGGGCTTCCTTGTAGAGAAGAGTGTGTACACGCAAATACACATTAGAATTATATGTATTATATCTTATTAAACTTTTATCAAAACACAAATATATTGATAAATGTAAATTGAATAGTAAGAGCAACATATAAAAAATATTATTATACATACATATATCAAACATATGTATGATAAGATTTAATGTGAATATATTTTTGTGGTAATTATTTCGTTCAAAAATTAAGACTAATTCAATCTTAATAATCATGAAAAATAGATACATATAAGTAAAAAAAATCAAATATACTGCCAACTATATCAATTTGCAGTAAAATTGTAAAATTTATGTAAAACTATAAACGTTGATACTTTGTAAAAGAATAAAAAATCTGTATAAAATTATATATACATATAGTAACTATGTAATATA